TTTAATTCCCCACACACCAGACATCTCTATCTCCTCAAGATCCAAGAAAACGCTCTGAACCCTCGGAACCAGTGCAAAAAAAGGTCAAGAGAAAGAAAATTAAAGAAAGTTCGACTACAGCTTTCCTTTATCTAGTTTTTAAGACATTACAAAACTGCAGCTAATTGACAGAGGCTGAAATTGGCTGTTTATTTATTTACTCTTGTGCACATGTGCTTTCTGTCATGTCCCCCCTTCCAACTAAACCCAAGACACTACGAAGAAATTAAAATAGTCTCCATGTGTTCATTATAATTTTACACTCGACATTAAAAAAAAAATCAAAGAAAGCTATCCCATAGTCAACAAATGCATTATTTTCACTTACATAAAAAAGCACAGGAGTATTTTATTTTAGCGCAAGGGTTTTTCTTAGGTAAGTGGTGGCCTTGGTAGTAATATAACTTAGCTTTCTGGTCACCAGACCAAGGAATTGCCCCTTCAAGCCTAAACCTAATGCATGAGGTGAGATCATTAAAGACTTGATTAAGTACCCAGTTACTGAACCGCATCACACCGAGCAGTATCTCTAGTAACTTCTCTCTCATCTATCGCCTCAAACCTCAAGCAATTTTTTAGCCAGGTTTTCTTTCTACGCTGCTGATAAAACCATACTGTTGAAAATATCGAAAGGCCCCACTAAGCTAAAGCCTCTGAGTGCGTCTGTGGCCCAAAGATGCCCTCAATCCAAAATGACCCAAGAAGAGGCCAGGTGTATCCACCAGCAGGCCTGGCAGCACCTGGGAAAGGACAAACCGTCCTGGTCAGAGAGCTGTAGGCAGCCCCAGGGTCCCTCTGTACTCATCGTGGTGCGTGAGTGTCCACGGGAGTTCCCACGGCTGAGCTGGGGGGGGGGCGGGGGGCGGCGAAGAGCGGGAGCTCCACCCAGCACCCAGGAGGGTGCTGGCTGCTCCTCTGCTGTTCACATTTCAGTAGACACTGGGCGCTCACAGCAGGGGAGCAATCAGGGGCTTCATCCCTTCACTTCCGCACTTCAGAGAGCCCACTCAGTGAGGCTCAGCTCTCTAACAACAGGCTCAGGGGACCTTTTCCCAGGAGGGCCCTAAGCTACAGAGGTGAGGGGAAAAAAAAGGGGTGATAAAGTCACGGGGTGAAATACACTTCCTGGCCACCTGTCATCTACAACTTGCCTTGGTGGCAGGAGAGATCCTAGAAGAGGGCTCTGTGGCAAGAAGGGGCAGTGACTTGGGGCCTTTTCTCTTCCCGGAACCTAGACCGTGGACCCATATGGAGCTGGTGCGTAAATAGCAGACTCCACATGTGACTGCTCTTCTCCCTCCTCCTGACAGGGCTTCCCTTCTTTCCTTGCCTCCTCAGGCAGCTCGGCCCTGAAACAATTCCAGAGTTTAAAAGAGACTGACTATGTTGGCAGGATGGTCATTTTCTGCATTTCTGTCTATATAGCAAAGTGGCAAAACCACTAAGAAGCAGGTCCTACAGGATGTAAGTAAAAGGGCAATACACACTGGCTGGCCATATTGACTTGACTGGAGAGTTCCCTTAAGGGTAAGTGCTTCAGAATTTAGTCCTGCTGTTCCTACAGCAGTCAACCAACTGCACATGAGCAAGGAGTAAGTCTTCCTCTGTGTGTCTCTGTCTCACTGGGAAAATTAATTTTTTCTTTGGCAGATGGTTGAATCACAGAGACAGAAGGATTCATAAAATTCACATGAACATCCTGTAAACATTTAAACACATGAAGATTAAATAAGACAACCATGACCTTTATTAAACTTAAACTAGTTTTTAATGTCCACAGCCCTAAGCCCTGCAATCGTCAAACCCATCTTCCCACCTCTTTTGACTGCTCAGTACTCACTGGGCATGTTGTGAGTACACACACAAGCATACCTTGCTTGATTGATTTGTTTTAAAGTGGGAAATAAAAGGCATCAGAAGAAAGTAATGATTTGGAACACCTAAACACAAGAAATCTTACTAGTTCTCTATTAAATAGGCTGGGCTCTCCAACACAGAGAAAGTCAAAATAAAATCAATGGCAGAAGTGATATGAAACATTCATTGTACCTGCTCTGTTTCAGCCCCTCCACACTTCCCAACTAATTGTCATGAAACATCCCACCAGACACCTTGGCCCAGGGCGAGGAAGTTTTGCTATGATTCAAAATTCTACCCTAAAGAGGCTAAATGACTTATTCAAACTCACAAGCAGATTGCTGGGACTTGAGCCATGGCCCCTGCTGCTTCAGCCTGGAGCTTCCTCCCAACATCAAAGCCGCGCCCCCTCAGCCCCACAACACAATCAGTTTGTGAGATTAGCACTGCCCTCCCACGGTGAAATTTTATGGCCCAAATCTGCCTGCCACTGGGCTCAGCAGCATAATCTCACCAGCAGCATAAAGCCAGGCTTCTCCAAGGCCGGCGCACTGTGGAACCCCTAAGCAGGAGAGGGGACATGTAGCTGTAAACATCTGGAGGTGGAGAAATACGTGTGTCAGCTTCCCTGCACGCTTGTTAGACTGTTCAATAAACTGAAGCTTTGAAGATTTTCCCAGTAGCGTTTGTTACCTGGTGTAAATGTGCCCTTTCTTACAACGCTTTTTATTGCTCTTGGCTAAGAATATTGGACAGAGACGGGAGACCTGACTCGCAGGCAGGCAGGCTGCTTTGCAGGAGAACTTGAACTTGATGTGCATGAAGCTGACAATTCCTTGAAGGCCTTGTCAACCATCCATCCAGTAAACACTGCCACGACCGGGAGTGAAAACAGACCTAAAACCAAAAGCACGTATGGAGGTTCTCTGCACCTGTCTCGAAGCAATTATTGACATTATCACTACACAATGAATCTCTTTTTGAAGTTGTTTTCCTGATGTTTAGCAGTTTGAATACTAATCCCCTTAACAAAACTGTCCCCGTGCGTTGCCCCCGTCCCTGCCCCCCTTAATCTCCCTCTCTCAGGGGAGCAGGGCGGGCGCTGGACACCAGTCAGTCTAGTGGGCAGCACCTGGATTTGCACTGATTCCGTCGCTTGTCATTTATGTTACCAACAGGAATTAGCATAAGGCATTACGGGAAACTGGAGGAGAAAAGAAAGGCCATTTTGATGGAAATCAGGGGCAAAGGAATAATCTGCCATCAACTAAAATGCTTATTTGTGTATGGTTTCCCAAGCAAGGCTTAGAAAAAGCCTATGTTGATTTTCGTGTACACAAAGAAACCTTAATCCTTTCAAGGCAACTAAATCACCCCCAGAAAAGCAGCTCAGAAGAAAGGCACCTCGTCAGGGGGTGACTATTCACAACCAAATAGATGCCACAAATCACACTCTGTAAGTAAATACAAATAAGAATGTGGGGGAACATTTGATTGGAAAAGGGAAAGCAGGGGGCAGAGCAGGAGGAAGGAGGCAGAGAGCACTTCTCCTCATCAGTCACTCTTTATCCGCCATGAAGAGAGCCTTTCAGCCTGGGCAGGGCAGCGGCCGCCTGCACGCAGGTCCCAGAGCCAACTCTCATTCTAGGCTGATCCCAGAGCCGGCAGATGCATTCCACAGCTTCAGAGCAAACTGGCCAGAGCAAGGCACAGTCACATGGCACCGAAGGGCCTGGGAGGGGCTGGTGTGGGCTGTCCCTGAGACCTTCTTCTGGTGACCTGGCCTATCTCGGTCTCCTCCTCCTCCCCTGCCCCCCTTTTCACACGGATACACCACTGTCTACCAATCAATCATCAAAACGAGCAATGAACAATTATGCATTTTTTACATATGAGCACTGTATGCTATGAACTGCACATATCTTCTTTCACTGGGCTTTTAGTGTAATGGTTAACAAATTTATACAAACTTTCAAAAATACAGTCTATCAAAAATATGATGAAATATAAAACTGGAAGACTCCATTATGCAATAAAAAAGATAAAATTCAATGGCAATAATTCTGGGAGTAACAGCAATCACATAAGCGTATACACCTCAAGGGAACTCTAAACATAACGTACTATTTAAAATTGCAGTTGGTGCCAATTCTAAAATAATCTAGGAGCTCCAAATAACTGCACTTGGAAATGTGTCTTACTAACCAGCTAGCAAAAACGCTAGCCAAGGCGACTACAGAATGCTGAAGTGGTTTCCAATTTTAAAAACTTTATGAAGGCCCAACTCTTCCATGTAACAGAATGAGATTAGCACAGAAAGCACGTCTCCTTCATCTAGCAATTATCACGCAAGCACCTAAGTCAGGTTCCACAGCGGAGAGGAAAAGGTCAAATAGTTCATGTAATTTATACCTTTCAAATCAGACACCTTTGCAAAGCCTGTGAGTAGACAGACACTTCTTCCTTAAATTTCATTATTTCCAAACAAGACTGCTACAAATGATATCTGCCCAGGAACCTATTGGCAATGATTTAAGGTAAGCTTTCCCTTAACGTATTTCTTTATCATTAGCCTCTCTTACTCTACATTGCAGTTGGGAAGAAAATAGGATAGCACATATTTAAATGTTGCCTTCTTCCTCATTTATTTACTTCACAGAAAGCCCACAGCGGGGTAAAGCTTGGTTTCTGACCATGATACTGTGACTACTAAACATCCACTGGTTATTTGAGTCTTCGGGACAAATGGGCTATTTATAGTTCTCTGAGACTGCTGGGTAGTTCATAAGTAACAATGAAGTTAAAAGGCTCTTTGAGAACTATTATTCTCCATTACCACTTCCTACATTAAATTAAAGTCACAGAGATAGTAATGATTTTTTTAGTCAAATCAAGTTAAATAAGGATTCAATGTATTCTTTTAAAATAAACTGTTTTCAGTGCATCACTAAATATAGAATCACACGAAACAAAATTACAAATATGAACAGTAGTTCCAGAATGAAAACAAAGAAATACCATTGTTTTAAAATTTTTTCTTCCTAGACAACGACAAAACATATAGAAAAATATGAAAATCATTGCTCAGAATTAAAGACTCTTACCTTTGTTTACAATAACAGTATTGAAGAGTTTTTCAGAGCTGGCATCTGATGCCTGAAAAACAAGAAAGGGGGGGGAAGTGTTATTATTGTCATCACCGTCATCATTATTACTATCTTATTTTAAATCAATTTACCGCACTTTAGAAAAGCCTAATAGGGAAAGCAGCAATTTCCCCCCATCGCCCATAAGGTGGCGCTAGCTGACTGCATGAAAGAGACCTGCAGTGCAGCTCTTTGTGGTGGTGGTAAAAATCTGATTTTAAAAACGTGTCCTTATTAGACATGTTATCTGTGCAAAACATATTTCTATGAGATGATACACAAAGCAATTAAGCTCATTCACATGATTTTGTGATTTTATTGACAGATCATTATTTTGGAAATGGTATTTTTTACATATTTGCGGACATGCCTATTTTTCAATTTTCTTTCATAAACCAGAAATGCCTATTATTTAATACTAAGCTTTTCCTCACTGAAAAGTGTTGACTAGCACTCCCAGAAATTAATTTTTAAATATTCATCTGATGACCCCAAGATCCTATCCCTATAGTAACCAGGGTGACCTTGGTGTTGAAACCTAAGCAAGCCAACCTGCCCCCAAACCTGACACTTTACATGCCATCAGCATAATTTCTTTTCCATTTTCTAGAGATCATGTCTGCTAATTATTACAGTGGCTTGAGGGAAGTGAAATAAGCCTGCTTAAACAGCAAGAGTAAAGCCAATTTAAATTATACACTAATGTTCTGGAAAATAAACATGAAGTCGGTTTAGAGGAAAATGCTGTTTCAGAAGCACTGAATATTGCTAGAACTAGAAAAATTAAAAAATTAAAAATTAAGCATCCTCACTATATAATTTGAAGATATATCTACATTTAAAGTCATAATGGCTATATTTATGCTGTTTTGCTAATCAATCCTTGTAAGAAATCACTTATCTTTCACATTGTATAGAGATGCATGCTTGACAAAGCAAAGCATTGAATGTTGAATAAATAAAAAAGAAAGAAATGTAGGAAATAGAGGAAGGGGGGAATCTGAAGTATTCTGACTCAGGTTGGCTTTTGGAGACAAAGAAGATATTCAATTTAGTCTTTCCATGTTATGTTGATGTAGATGAGATATTCCTGGGTACATCTGGGGACCATGTTCTAGTTTTCAAAGCAAGTGATATAGGAAGACATAAAATATTTTTATGATTACTTTTCCCTTTATTCTCATTCTAATTTTCAAACTGTAGAGGTGGTTCAGATTAACAGATCAAGGAAAAAAATGAATGTACGTACAAAACAAGTGAACTGAACATTCATACATAAACAGTTTAAAATAATTCCTAAATTGATGTTTCCTCTGATTTTGCATGAATACTGAAAAATACGCCAAAGGTCTTCCCGGCATTTTAAACACAATTAAATAAAATTATTATAGTAGCTTTTAATAAAAACAAACTGCTAAAAAAGTGTTGCATGGTGGGGGAATAAACTATGCATTAAACAGATGGAGAAGATTGAGTTATAAAAGCAAAAATTATGGGAATAGTGTTGTTAAATTGTAACATTATGTGAGACTTCTAGGAATGTGAGTTTCCCAGGTGAAAACTTAAGAGATAACAGTATTTCATCATTTTTCAATGAAGAAGTGTCTCTTAGATCTAATTGGAACGACTATGCTAAATTAATGGCTTAAAAAAACAAATTCCTGCTGATATTTTAAAAGAAAAAAAAGTCTGTAAATTAAATCATTTTATCAAACTGAAATAACCCTTGCAGATTTTGGAGTTACTTATTAAAATGAGTCTAACTGGCCCAAAGAAATATACAAATTACTGAACCCCAAATACAAAAAGCATGAGGAAGGACAGGAAATGATTCCTGAATGAGTTATTATTTGCACTTGGTATGTGTGTGTATGAGAGATGGAATAGGACAGAAGCTGTAAGCGAAGGTGAACAGGCCCTTTGGTTGTCTTTCACACCCTTCTTGGGGTTGCCACCTTTGTCAGCTCCACTGGGCTGCAGGCTATATTCTCAAGTAGGTGGCTACGGGATCCTTACGTGTGAAACAAACTTAGAGGATGTGATTCTTATGATGCCAACCAGTTAAGTTATTATAGAAATAAGTCTGACAGGATATTCAGAGAGGCTGAGTAGTACACCTTCTAATAAAAGCTTCTTGAGTCCTTTAATTTTCTGATACATGTCACAAAGCCTGAAATGACGCCTCCTTGCAACTGGGGATGGGGGCGTCGCAACAAGGCCGCCACATAAAAACACCCAAAGGAAAATGATTGCAGTGGGGCTTTGACTAATCATGAAATAATTCTGGGTCCCTTCTCTCCCACTCAGGTGGTTAAAACTGTGGCGGACCGCTGCCCTGAAAGTCAGAAAAGGACTTCTTAGCCAAAGTCTTAAGCGGAAACTACAAGAAAATTCTTTGCTTTCCCTCTACGAACTTTCCAAATCCTACTTACATTTTTAAAGCATTTGTGCAAATTCTTTGGCTCATTGGGTTTTAATCTTTGGGACCTTTTCTTTTTCATTGTTTTTAGAAAAACGTCTGCTATTCCTTCTATTACCTGGACCATTTTCCTAGCTGGTTTTTAAAAAAAATTTTTTTTTTTTAAAAATCAGGAACGACAAATGGAGACGTGGCGAGCCGAGAGTTGGCAGACGAGCGGAGCTTTTCCTTCTCTCCTTTTTAACGCGGGGGCACCTTTACACACTAAAGACCTTTAGATTTTGATCGCCATTTCATTTCATTCCCTCACTCGGCTCTGGAAGGTGACGGCGTGAAGTGGCCACATTTTAAAACATTGATTAAAAAAACCACAAAGCTCTATTTGGTTGCTTTTTATTTGGGTGGGGGCGCAGATTTGCTTTTTAATACTAAGCAAATACTAGAAGCCGTAGTTAGTGTTGAAAGAAAAGTTAAGTCAAGCAGGTTGGGGGAAAGAAAACGGAAAATGAGGGAAACGAATAAAAGCCTTCCGTGCAGACGCGGGCGGGACGCGGCCGCTCCCGTTCCGGGTCCACCTTGATTCCCTTCCACAGCAGACGCGGCGACGGCCCTCCGCACCCGCACGAAGAGGGGCTTTACAAACAAGAAATGAGAAACCTCCTCGAAACTTAGGAGTTTTTTTCTCCAACTGCCGCCGATCCTGACAGAGCCCAGATCTCCTCTCGCTTCCCTTGGCACCGCGTGCGGGCCGGGATCCCGATCTCGGCGCGGGGAAGGGCTACCCCAGGACCGCGCGGCTAGCGCCGCGCCGAGGTCTCCGGTCCCGGCCGCGCAGGCCCGGTCCCGGCCCCGGGTCAGGCGGAGCCCCTGAGCCGGGAAGCGCCGGGGCCGCTCGGGCCCCCGGGCCCGACCGCGCAGACCCCGCCGCCCGCGCTGCAGCTCCCGGGCCAAGCCGTCAGGCCCAGGGAAGAAAGTACAAAGGCGGGCGCCCGGGCCGCGGGGGAGGGATGTGGGAGGAAGGCCAGAAGGGAGGGGGTGGCGGAGGGGGGCTCGGGCGCGCCGGACGCGAGGAGCCCGCCCCTGCCACCCCTGCCCGCCGGCCGGGCCGCCCCAACAAAAGACCCCCGACCCGGCCGCCTCCGTTCTGACCGCGGCCCGCGGGCGAGGGGGCTGTGCCCCCAGGGCTGCATTACCTGGTTGCAAAGGGTTAAGCGGTCCTGTCAGCCCCAAGTTCATGGTTGGGTTCCTTAGCAGGGTTCACGATGGGGGATCGTCAGGGACGAGGGGAAAACCAGCCAAACACACGAAGAGAAAACGCCCAACTCCGACCGGGCTCCGTCCGCAAGAGTCTCTCTCCTCCTGTCCTCGCGAAAGTCTGAAGCGGATGCACGAACCAGATCCGTACCGGAGCGGCAGCTTCGCCGCGGCCGGGAGCCGGCGCCGCGCACACATCCAAGCGCGGCCGAGCCAGGCAGGCGGGCGGCGGCGGGAGGGATCGCGCCCGGCCCGCGCTCGCCCGCTGCCTCCGGGCCGCTCCTGCGACGTGCGGGGCGCTGCGGGGACCCGAGGAATGTCCCGGGCGGGCCTGTGGGCGGGCGAGGCGGCGAGGAGCGGCCCGAGCCGCGGCCGCGGCGCGCGGAGCTAAGAGCTAGGCGGCGGCGGCGGCGACAGGACAAAGGAGACCATGTGCGGAGGGAGGGAGGAGGGAGAGGGAGGAGGCGGAGGAGGAGGGCGCACCGCGGCGGCAGCGGCTTCTCCCCCGCGG